TTTTAAAATGAAATTAATTCTCCTATATAATTAAGACCCAACAACATGTTAACATTCTTTAATTAAGCAACAACGGTGGAAGTTACTTTAAGGGAATCAATTTAGGACTTTATTAATCTTATGTAATATGAGAGGAACTTTCTTATGTTATAGAAATAATTATGTGTGAGATCCACCCACTATAGAAAAATAAAAAAATAAAATAAATTAATAACACAAAAATTGATGTATGTGTAAGAAAGAAAAATAATTTCCTACAACATAAAATTATATTTTCTCATTAATTTATGGGTAAAAACACTTCTGGTGTTACAGTTACTAGAGAAATGTTCCTCTCATGTCACATATACATCCAAATTTTCAATTTTTTTTTAAGAAAAAATTGATGGGTCCCACCATGTCTTTGTCTCAGCTGCAGAACAGAAAACTTTGCAGCAACTGCAGATATACAAAACCCTTAATTTATATTATTAAATTATTTATATTTGGGTTCATCTAATCTCATGTTGTATGAGAGAAGATTTTTCATGTTATAGACATATATGTGATAGGGCCCACTATTTAAAAATAAAAATAAAAAAGAGTTTCATGATTTTTAATTGGTCCATTGAAAATAAAATTATTCTTACGTTGCATAAAAGTGATTTTTTCCTTTATATTCACATAAGAAAAGTTTTTTTTTTTTTATATATAACCAAGAAAGTTACTTTAGGATATGCATGTCTTCTAAACTATTTTCAAAATGGTGACAGGCACTGTGAGCATTTATTATTATCTTTGACTCCAAATACTAATTTTTTATAAAAGATTAAAAATCCTAATTTTCTTTTATGCTAAGCCTTTTGACTTTTCTCTAATTTAAACATAGAAAAGCAAAAATCAAACATTTACCACGTTAAAATTGGAAGTTCACGGTTGCATAACACACTACAGCATAAATTAAATAACTAAAATACGACGAGTTTTAGAAACAGTAGTGTTTGAAATTTTAATGAACCTACTCACCCTACTAATCTGATTTTATGTTTGTGCCTCTCCACTATCTCCAGGATTGTAATTTTTAGAAAAACTCACCATTCTTTGGACAAGTTAAATCAATCTAGCTGGATTACCACTAGACCAACAACTTTTGGATACAAATTCATTAATTTTTGAACCTGGACGAAGATAATCCCAATGGACCTATCTATGAATATGAAGAGTTTTTCTTAATTTTTATTAAGTGGTTCTAAGCTGTGCAAAATTAGTGTCATACCCGTTCTCCTCCACGCAGAGTATGGCGAAAGAAAAGAACCCAGTCATGTTGACATGGTTGTCAGTTCTTCATTTTATAGTATTACTGGTAGTTACGACTAAAACAGACTCAAATTCTAGGCAATACAATTCAATTTAGAAAGGCATCTTTTTAATTAGATTAATCGTATTTGAACTTTGAAGAACACTATTCGATTTAAATAAGGCAATTGACATCCTCTATTTATACTCCACACAGATATATTTAAAATAAAAGTTTTTCTTATGATTACATTTTTATAAATAAACCTTAACTAATATTTTTTTTAATGTATTAGTGCTTTTTTTATAGAAACATTTCAATCTGATTATCGCTTCGCGATTCGGGGTGAGGCTGAGCTAGGATCATTTGGTTGTATTAATGCTTTATTAAGTGTAATTTAACAGATAAAAATTAAGAAAATTTTAAATTATTTTAAAATAGTTAATAAAAAATGAATAAACCATTACAAATTAATTTTAATAACTCAAATAAAAAATCTACATCAAATTTTTTAATCATCATATAATTTAGTATTTTATACATGTTAAATATTTTCTCTATAATAATTACATGAATAATAGTTATTTTTTCTATAAATTCGAGGTGCATTAGTTTTAAAAAATGAATTGATTGGTTGGGAGAGTGTTGTGTTAATTTTGTCTTCACGATGCAACTTGAGTCAAAACAATTTTTCACCCGACAAAAATGAAAATTAAAGAAAATAAAAGTCTAAAATCAGGATTTGAGTTTTGACTTGAGTATTTTTTTTAAAAAATGAATAATATTATATTGTACAAAATCCTTGTTTATCTGTCATAAGATTTACAACCCTTTTTTTTTTGGGAAAAAAAAAGACTTATGCATTGTCAAGGTTGGGAATTTTTAAATGATTAAGGATTGGATTTTTTTTCTTTCTCTTTGCTACTTATATTTTTGTGTGTGTTAAATACTCTGAATTACGGACTCGTTGATTATTTGAAAATATGCGTGTCGGACAAGTGTTTGATACGGACACGCTCCGACAGGCGGTCAATATTTTGGGACATGTGGTCAACTCTCCGACATATTTTGACATATTTTTTTGACACACAGTCAACTTTTTCCGACACGTGTTCAATGCTTGGACACGTTTTTTTTTTAGTCTTAATTTTATTTTATTAACTAAAAATAAAAAAAATTATTTATAAATCAAATTTTTTCTGTTATGAAATTTGACATGAAAAATTAACAAGGTAGGAAAAATTATTTTTGTTTATATTTATGTTATAAAGTTTGAATATTTGATTGGTTATATGACTTATTATGGACTGTTATTTCTATTAAATATAAATTATATTATATATTAAAAATATTATTTAATATCAAAACGTGTATCAACGTGTCGAAATATGCCATTTTTTAGAATTAACGTGTCGTGTCCCGTGTCAGTGTCCGTGCATCATAGGTTAAATATACTAAAGAAAGTGTAAGACATTCTCTTATGTCTTATCCTATGAGTCAGAGGTGGCAAAGTGAGCAGCTCACCCTACCCTTTTCCGCCATCAACCCGCCAAAAATTGAGTTAGTCCGCCAGCCCGAGATTATTTTATACTGATCCATCTCGGCCCGCCTATACCACCATCAACCCGTCAAAAAATGAGTCTATCTCATGCCACTTTTGAGATAGGTTGAAAAACTTAATTCGTCCCGCTCCGTTTAGTTGATGGAGCGGGTTGACCCGTCAAGCCGAATCCATTTTACCGGCTCTAGTGCCAGTACTAAACTCAAAATTGTCTTATTTCTATTGTACGAAAATTCCGCCCCTTGGTAGTATTTACTTTCCAAATTCTTATTGTATGTTTCTCATGTTTCTACCTAGCTAAACGACTTAAATCAGAATATTCTTACTAAAAAGAGACAGAGAGAGAATAAGAAAAAGGAAAAGTATGAACTATGAACTGTGAATCTAAAGAAAGGACACCATAAGGCATCTTTGTCGCTTAGATCATTTAAGTGATAGAAAAATCTATAAAGTGGGTTACGTGTTTATTACTTACTCTGTATCTGAAGCAAATAACAGTATCTCATGAAAGTTGGCGAGCTATTACCATGATAAATAAATAAAAGACATTATAATTTTGCTAGAAAATTAAAAGAAATTTTTTATATCACAAATTATAAGTTGTCATACAACTTAATTAGTTGAGCCATGTGATAACTTTGTCTAATAACCCCATCTGAAGCTTCCCCAGTTGATAGTTTCCCATCTAAGCATATGTGAGACTTTGTGAAGATTCTATTTGAATAAATAACACAGTTTGGGAATTAATGGACAAGAGAATCAAGTGGTTAGTTCGAAGCACCCTGCACCAATACTTCACTGCAAGTCACTCCAGTCTAGTTAAAGCACAAAAAGTAGTTATATTATATTAAACATCAAGTAATTATTAGAATATAAAATACAACGTACCCCCAAAAAAAATGCGAAATTACTTTATATGAAAGTAATATGCTTAATGATTCTAAAATCTTATAGAAATATATTTTTCATTTTGCATGAGACAAAATTATTTTACGCATACACTAAAAATGAATGGGTTCTAATTTTTTTTTTCTTTTTTTCTCTCTTTTCTCCTAAATAAATTTTATTCATTTTTTTGTGTGTTGGATGAAATAAAATTATCACATGAGAAATATAATCCCTAATTTTTTCAATTTGAAAAGAAATCTGCAGTAATTTATTGGCGGTCAATTTTGTGTTTCTAAGTTATTATTATATACATGGAAAAAAAATGGTCAATTCATATACTGTACAACAATTAAAAGGACCTTCCTAAAGTGATTGCGTCATTAAAACGGTAAGAATAATGTGTTAATTTTTTTCTTTTTATAGTTCAATGAGTTGTCTGAAGAAAGGTAAGATTCTCATTCAACGCTTAAGTGAGTAAAAAATTTCTCAGGAACAAGAAAGGACACAATTTATTGCATAACTCAAGGCTGTTATCAAATGTGTGTATATTTTGTTTTAGGAGTGGAGAAAAAAAAAAAAAAAAAAAAGGAAGGCTAGCTCATAGGAAGACAAATCCATGCTCTGAAAGTCTTATTTCTAAGATAAATTTGCATTTGCATCATAAAGTCATACCTAGCACCATTTATATGCAAAACAATCCACAGACTGATAATTACTTTTTGCAAGGACCTGAGTCATGGACACGTGCCAATATTTTTTTATATAGGAAATTAATTATCCTCCAGTTAAGCACCCCCACAAACAATGGTAGGTAATATCTGAAATTAAGCACCAAAAGTAAATATATATTGAATTTACCACCCAATTAATGTCATGTCTCGAAAAAAAAGTTAAGTAGTTTTTTTTTTTTTTTCTCCTTTTTCTTTCCCCACACACACAAAAGAAAAAGTCCATATATGAGAGCATGAGAATTATTCGTATTAATTACAGTTACCAAGCTTGGAACGTGATGTTGCACACCACCAACGTTTACAAGGACCTAAAACACAAAACACAGTTTCCTCCCCGCAATTGAAATCCTTTTCACACTAACCAAACTCACTTGATAGAAAAAAGTCACTAGCAAGTAGCAACCCATTAAGCCGGTGAACAGTTAAGAAATCTTTCAAACTTCAAACTTTCAAAGGGTCTCTCTCTCTCTTTCTTTCTCTCTCCACCGCCGTACACATTATATAACGTATTCTTGACTCATTACCACCAACGAGTCCCATTGGTATTTCATTTCATTCCCTCTTTCTCTGCTTTCTCTTGAAATCCGTGCAATCTCGTCATTAGAGAGAGAGAGAGAGTAAAACGCTGGACAATGTTGCCGTTTCACTCTTCCCTTTCCCAAACTTGAACGCTTTTTTGCGTTTTGTTAGTGGGTTTTTGTTTCTGACATTGGAAAAAAAAACGCTAAACGACGAATCAAAGCGCGTTCACTCCTGACAAGTGTAACTGTATCAGAATCATCAACACGAAGAAGAAGAAGAAGATGATGATAGGACCGTGGTGACTATCACTGTTTCACTAGTTTGTTTTCATATCATCAACACGAAAATTGGATCTGATTCCCAAGCTTCCAATTCTCACCAGTAAGTAAATGACACATTCCAAGACCAAATTTTTATTCTTCAACTTGATTACCCAATTGCTCACTCTTGCTTTTTCTTGTTTGGGTACCGAGAAAATTTAAGAAAACTATGGTTTCTTATATGCCTCACTCTGAATTGCAGAAACTTGAGATTCCATTCAGCTACTCACTGAATCAGTGAATCTAAGAGAAAAATCTTCAAATGGGAAAATCAACGAGCAATAACAGGGATTGGTCTCAGATGTACGCGATCTACGGAATGGATCAATGGCAAACCCTAATTTTTCTCTTGTGTCAAGCCATTCTCTTCTCTGTGTTATCCGTTCTCTACCTTCTTTACTTCGGTCCAATTTGCGTCTTCTTCGAGCGGCTTCTCTCCGTCGCCGCCGTGCCGGCGGGCTCCGCCCGCTTCGCCGCCGGGTTTACGGGTTCTGTCACTGCACTCTCCGCTTTCTGCCTCTTCTTCGCCGCCGCGAACTTCTTCTACTCCGCCGTCCCCCTCCACTACGACATGGCGCAGCGCATCGTCTCCGCCGTGCACGACTGGTCCTCCGTGAAGCTCGCCTTAGACCTCGGGTGCTGCGGCCGCGGAATCCTCCTCAACGCCGTCGCGACTCAGCTGAAGAAGGAGGGTAGCTCCGGCAGGGTCGTCGGCCTTGACCGGAACAAGCGGACCACGCTGTCGACGCTCCGGACGGCGAAGATGGAGGGCGTCGGCGAGTACGTCACGTGCCGTGAGGGCGACGCGCGTCGGCTTCCGTTCCCGGATAACTACTTCGACGTGGTGGTGTCCGGCGTGTACGTGCACACGGTGGGGAGGGAGTACGGTCCGCGCACGGCGGAGGCTGCGGCGGAGAGGATGAGGGCGGTGGCGGAGCTGGTGAGGGTGATGAAGCCAGGTGCGGTTGGTGTAGTGTGGGACCTTCTGCACGTGCCGGAGTACGTGCTGAGGTTGCAGGAACTGAAGATGGAAGATGTTAGAGTCTCTGAGCGTGTAACCGCCTTCATGGTCAGCAGCCACATCGTATCATTCAGAAAACCTAGTCAGCACGTGCATGGCCCCGCTGAGGTTCGCTTGGATTGGAGATTATGCTGACGTGGAAATTCTCATACTTAAAAAATATATAATATATATATATACTGAGAAATATTTTGTCAAAATGAAAGTGTGTTTTTTTACTTTGACATATGAATATCTGATGGTAAAGAAATGACTGGGGAGGCGAAGTCGAACCAGATGGAGTTATGTTATTTATGTTAAAAGGAAAAAAAGAAGAAGGAAAAATGGATGTAATAATAATATGATGATTTTATAGATAGCAATGACTATTGTATAATATGTTGATGATTTTATAGATAGCAATGAAATTGTAGAACGTTAATGTATCTTAGAATTTGGTTGTCTAAATCGGTACTTGCCTTTTCTGCTTAAATTTCACATGTCAATGAAACTCATCGGTGTTGTGTTTCTCTGTATTTTGCTACAGCAGCAAAATTTTCAATATATTTTATGTTTCTCTGTTTTGGCATTTGAATTTTAAGCTTGAAGATGTCGTTGTCTTAATTATCTTTTGGGGTTTGGAGTTTCTTCCCTCCATGTGAGGTTGGATTCAAGTAAAATAAGTAGAAAGCTGATGGAGATGAATGATAGATTGAAAAAAAAAGTAGATAGTGATATTTTTTTTCGGTACAATTAAACTTCGTGGAGATTATGAATTAAAATGATGGCGTGGATGGGTGAATTGTTGGAGAGTCACAATCAGATATTTTCGATGCTGAAGCTTTAATAATTTTTTGGCCGAGTTTGTTGGAAGTTTATTTCATGCTTTGAAAAAATGGTTGGTTGTGTTAGCTAATGGTAGAGAACTAAAATGGTTTGCTGAAAATTACACTAGCCTCATTTAGATTTGGTTGATGTAGTCATTCAACTTTAGTTTGTTCTACCAAATTGGGCATGATCTTCAAAATTACTTTCTTTGGGTTCATAAGTAATTTTAGTCATTTAACTGAACAATGGGTTACGTAGTCTTTGTGGGGTTGTTGCTCCACTGTCACAGCCGTTAGAAAAAACTTGTAAGGTAAAATGTGTTAAAATGGACTTACAGCAGAGACATTAGCTTATGTTACTGACTTACTGTTACTAATTTTGTATTTTCTTACTATAATTATCATTAATTGAGCTTTTGATATCGTTCTTAAGTTTTTTTTAGCCCTTCGTTGACGTTATAATGACGTTGATTGTCTATCATAACAGCTTTTCCTAGGACCACATGGTGCATGTGCTCCAAAGTTCTAATCCTGACACCGTAGGAATATGGGGCCATACTTGCTATCCCAAAATCAATGACCATTTGGGACTCAACATTCAGGACTTAGGATGCCATGATTTTTTTTTGTTAGGTTCAATGTAGATATCTCATTTTATTACAAGATAACATTTTCAGAATTATCTGTTGCATAAAGTTGGGATTCCTTATGAAATCAGAAGGATAAAGTACCTTGAAAGTTTGTCACTTTTAAGAGCAAATTTTCTCAGTTACAGAGCATGTATTCCCTTATGAAAAAAGGAATATGAGAAAAAATAATTATAAAGGCAAGGATAGCGTAAATATATATATATATATTTTTTTTCATATTCGATAAAAGATCAACTGAGTGTTCATACTTCGTAGCACTGGAAGGGGATCAGAACCAAAATACATAAGGCTTTGCCGTTAAGTTTTTCTCCTTTGGACTAAAATAAAATATCTTCCGTTCACTTAGTGCAAAACTTAGAATAGCAAATTCTTTGCTTAATATGATAGCTAAACTTAGTCTAAAAATCATTGCCCGGAACCATATATTTTGTAGATTTGAAACTTTTTGAGACTTCAAAGAGGTGCAATGTGCGATGTGCCCGTCATAAGAACTGGTAAATGCTTGTAATCAAAAGGATAATGAGAATTGTAATCAATCAATCAGAATTAAAAATTACTACTAATAAATAATTTACAGGCAATGATTAAAATTTACAATTAAATGACAATCAAAAGATGAATGACAAGAGCCAAGGAATAACAAAAGGATTAGTAACTGCTACTCCAAATGTAATTTTTGCCTAGTAACTGTCTAAGTTTGATAACAATACTTGTCATTCTATTCTTCCAGACTCAACTTCTAATAATTGATTAGTCAAACTTTGTACTCGATATTTGAGTTCTAATTGCACAAGTACTTGAAATGGTTGATCTTCTCCAAGCCTTTATCATATCTTCTGTATATGGTTAAGTGTTTTGTGCTTGGATCTTTCTTTGAACAACTCCTTCAATCTGAACCTAATTACCTTCGATCCCTAACCATTCTTTCTTTGACTATCCATCTTTCCGTTGTGTTTAAATAAAAAAGTTAATGTTAGTACTAACAAGGGACCAACAAGACTTGTTTGCTCAACATTTCTCCAAGTTGGGAGCAGTAGACAAGTATATCTTATTGGACCTAAGCCCAACATGATCCAAATCTCTCACTTACAAACTCACAATACTAACACAAATATCCACAACTCGAATATGATACAAATAATTATTTGTATCAAAATCTTTCATAACACTGTTTATTTATTATACTAATTGATAATTAATTTTTTATGTCATTTTCTGATTAACACTAACACAAACACATATAGGTTAACTCTGAACACATTTTGTCCATGTTATTTTCTGGTAAAAAAAAACATTATCACCCTTAACACGAACAGAAAAATTTATTATATTTTAGTCATATTAGTGTGTTGTGTTGAAAATTACAACCTATTTTAAATAGCCTCGTCTTTCTACTTTGTGACATTTTTTGCTTTGAAATGGACTTGAGCTTAAAAATATCTTTACCGCTAACCCCACTCATCTTCACTCGATAGACTTGCATTGCATTGCTTACAAACTAAAAAGCTCTATGATCATAAATAAAAGTGGACATAGATGATTAAGGATTTGGTCCATATCACACGAGGACGTGGATTCAAACTATGCTGAAATTCTCAGAGGTTGGAGGGTCTTTTTTTATCTTAGGGGAATATTGGTATCTATCCACAATTAATTATTATTTTATTTTATTTTTTTTAAAAAAAAATCTATGATAAAGTGGCCCAATGGTACGGCAGGATATACAAATCCATGTGAAATTTATCAAAACTTGCAACCGTTAGTGGAATAAATCTTTGGTGCTACTGTAGTACCAAGATTCAGTGCATTCCACTAATAGGAGCATTACACATCAGAGGAGAGAAAAAAAATTTGACAGAGAAAAAAAGAACTTTTGCTGACATGTAATATTTCTATTGGTGGGATGTACTGAATCTTTGGTGCTACAGTAGCACCAAAGATTTATTCCCGTTAGTGATGCTACATATCTTACAGGAGCTAAGAGCGAGCACACGTGTCAAGCAATCATGCCAAACTGAACCAATATGTGCTACCCCATTACCACCATCTAGCTACTTACCCATGCCTTAAATAAAAAAAATAAAAAAAGAACTCCAAATGCATCACATTACTTGCACATGTCTCCTTCTAATCTCTCTTATATCATCGCCAGAAAAATTTGGTGCATATGTTTTAGTTGGTCGTCTTATAACATCGCAAGAAAAATTAGGTAGCCATGTTAAGCTGTTATTTAAAAATTTGTTTTGTTTCTCTGATATATTAGATGGATTGATCTCATTCTCTGAAGTTAGGGGGTGCTTTCCATTTCTCAATTGCACACGACCAATTTGTTTGAATTATTCAGGTGTAATCGGCAAGTGATCAAATCTGAGACCCAACAAATTTTTCTGTTTGTAATATTTGTAAACAATATTCTTCATGGTGCTCCAAAAAAGGCAATCAAATTTGAATTGTAGTTACAATATATCTTCAAGGTGATTAAATACTCAATAAACCGTAGACTGTTGGAACCTTTTTGGGCTAGTATGAGAATTAAAATATTCTTATAAGATTTTTAAGAGATTTTCAGAATGGGAACGTTCCCCCACAGCAATTCGACCAAAAACAGTGAAATCTTTTTAATATTACAAGTCACGTTTACTAAATGGAAAAATTGGAAAGGACAAAATGAATTTTTTTTGAAAGGACATAAAAGAAATATAAAAAATAAGGGTTAAAATAAAAAAAAATACCAATTTTAATAAACGAATGTACCGAGTTTGATATACCGATGTATCAAAATTTTGCTACAAAAACAGGTTGAATTCATCTGAATGGTCAGAAATTATGTCTCGCTCTACTTATTTGTATATTATGGAAAAAAAAATTCTCTTTGAATTAAGTTAATTTTTAAAGTTAAATGCATGTAAAACTTTAGGCATAAATTAACATTACTTGCACAAAAAGTAGATAATTTTTTAGAAAGATACTTAGATTTAAATTTATAATTTAATTTCAATGTTAAATTAGAAGTAAGCCGAATGGTCGCTCAACTTATTTGTGTAATATGTTAAACAAAAATTCTCTTTGAATTAACTTAAATTTTAAAGTACATAAGAAGTAGACACATTTTTTTAAAAATGCATCGTAATAATACTTTAACCATTAATTTACATTGCTTGCACAAAAAGCACACAATTTTTTTGCGGAAAATAATACTCATGTGATCGAAAAATGAAACTCTCTCCTATATTCGCATCCATAAATAAAGCTAATCTTTCTTGATGGGTCTCATCTGAGTGTATAGGAATAAATTTCTATTTTGGCTTGAGATAAATATTGTCCCTTTTTTCTTGTACGGTTATTAAGAAAGATACTCTTGTCTTAATAGATTTTTCTAAAACGAATTTCATAAATCAACCAATTTCTAATTTTATGACATTGATAAATTTTAAACTGATTTGGTGGGGTGCGCCAGCCAATGCAATAGTGCAACGCAAGGGCGACACGCGAGAGTCCCAGTAGCAAGCTACTGTAGCGAACCCTCCCCCTCAAAAAATAAATTTAATATCGTGTGGGCCAATGACCCACATATCAGATATTAAACTGATAAGAACAGATACTACACTTGATCTTAGCCAAAAGGCCGAGAAAGGTATGAATTGTACTGGTCAGGATTGCTTTTTTTATAGTCGAGTCTTCGGTACTTGTGCATTCAAATAGGCAATGTGGGACTCAGCGATGAGTAGTTCAACACTAACCCCAGATAGACATTCTTTCAATAGCCCAAAATGCAGTATTTATTTAAGGGTCTACCAGCAACCATCCAAGTGTAACAAATCTTGTTCAAGCCTTTAATAATGGATGCGTTCATCCATAATTAATAAAGTCAGGATAGCTACTCGGGTCAAGCTGCATAACGCTAGTAAATTTGACAAATGAGTGAATGAAAAAGGACAACATAACTACATATTGA